TGTTGTTGTTGTTGTTGTTGTTGAACTCTCATTCTTGAAGAATAATTATTGTTGATCCCCCCCACCGGTGCACATTGATTTTTTTCGATTGAAGTGCCACCCCCGGGGCTCGCACCTTGTTTTTTCTGAAGGAAAGTCTTCCTGCTCAAACTGTGCCCCTGCCCCCCGGGCTACAACAACAACGGCTCCCGCCTGAGACTTCCTCGATTTTTACTCAGGACCCCCGCTCCCGCCTGAGACTTCCGCGCAATTTACTCAGGAAAGGCGCTCCCGTCTGAGACTTCCTCGCAATGTAATCAAGACCCCCGCTCCCGCCTGAGACTTCCGTGCAATTTACGTGGGAACGGCGCTCCCGCCTGAGACTTCTTCGAATTTTACTCAGGACCCCCGCTCCTGCCTGACATTTCCGCGCAATTGACTCAGGAACGGCGCTCCCGCCTGAGACTTCCTCGCAATTTAGTGAGGACCCCCGCTCCCGCCTGAGACTTCCGTGCAATTTGCTCAGGAACGGCGCTCCCGCTTGAGACTTCCTCGCAACTTAGTCAGGGCCCCCGCTTCCGCTTGAGATTTCCTCACAATGTACTCAGGACTGCGCTCTCGCGTGCGACGTCCTCACAAATTATTCTGGAATTGCGTTTCGGCGCTCAGGAACCACGCACGCGCCAAGGACGCCTTCACAACGTGGTATCTTCCCTCTTCCTTCGTCCTTCCCCCTCCCCTTCCTCCCACTCTCCCTCGTTCTTCCCCTCCTCCTCTTGCAGGGCCCGCGCCAATTCCAATGGCGGGCAGAGAGATGTACGCCCCCGAAGGATTGTCCGCCCGTTCCGGTTTGCCCGTACGTCTAAGCCCGCCGGCCCCAGCAAAGAGAAATAATCCCCCCGAAAGGGGTGTGATCGAAGACGAAGAGGGCGGGTATCGAGGGTGTAGGGTATACGTGTTGAATGACTCGCGGGCAAGTAAGAGCGTACAGCCTTAAACTGGTTGTTGTTGTTGCTGCTGCTGCTGTTGCTGTTGTGTTGTTGTTGTTGTTGTTGTTGTTGTTGGTGTTGTTGTTGTTGGTGTTGTTGTTGTTGTTGTTGTTGTTGTTGTTGTTGTTGTTGTTGTTGTTGTTGTTGTTGGTGGTGGTGTTGGTGTTGTTGTTGTTGTTGCTGCTGCTGCTGCTGTTGTTGTAGTAGTCGCCGTAGCAGTAGGCAGTGGCGGTGGCGGCGGCTCGCCAACGTGGAATTAGCAGCCCCCGCCAAGAATACAAATTTGCCATTTCATTTTTGGGGGGTTGTGAAAGACATCCTGCTGTTAATCCCCCTTCCTCCCTCCCCCCCTCCCCCTTCTCTGTCCCCCCCGCCCCCCCTGGACGCCACCCCCTCACGGGCATGCTGCCCCCCTGGGAGGCGGGGGCCAGGCGGCTCTCAGCCGCCGCCGAGGAGGCGGGGGTCCTCACGGAGAGCGCCAGGCAGATCTATCGCCCGAGGCCAGCGCCCATTCGCCCAGACGTCAATCTTCCCCTCAACCGCTCGTCCCCCCAACACTCCTCTCCACTCGCCCGCTCCCTTTCTTCCTCATGATCCTTCTCTTTCTCCTCCTGCTCCTGCTCCTGCTCCTGCTCCTGCTCCTGCTCCTGCTCCTGCTCCTGCTCCTGCTCCTGCTCCTGCTCCTCCTCCCCCTCCTCGGCTTCCCAGATGGAGAAGGTTTTCTTGTATTTTGAAGCCCCTGCGGGCCGTTGTCGGGCCCCGGGACCGTCAGAAACGGATCCAGAGAGAACAACTGCACCAGATAGACCCCGGGAGGGGTCCGGGGACCGATCTTTGACGCATTTGGCCTCATCCCCCCCTCCTGGCCGATTTCCTGGTCTGGGGTCTCAACCAGTTCAGTCCCACTGGCCGCCTCCGAGCGCCGGGGGGTCAGGGGCAACGTCAGTCGGAGGGGAGCGCATGCGAAAAGTGAAAGTCTAGGCGTCCCAGACGGGGTCGGAGTAGATGGGGTCGGGGGATCGCGCCGCATCGCTGATGCATAGGCGATGCGGCTCGATGCGGAGCCGGAATTTTCCCTCCCCGATGACGCCGATGCATCGCTGACGTTGCCGATGCAGCTGCATCACCGATGTCGCCGATGCATCGCCGATGCATTGGCGATGCGGCGCGATCCTCAGACGCCATCTTTTCGGACCCCATCCAGGAGGCCTTCAGACAAGAGGGAAGAACCCGCCCCGACCTCCATTCCGTGCTCTCGCCCCTCCGAGCAGCGCCGACGTCGAGAATTTAGGCCCGCGCACGCATCAACTCATGCATGTATGCACTACACGCATGTGGTTGCGCGATCATGCAGCTTCTAGTTTGGCCCCTTGATGGTGGTAACTTCCGCTCTCTGGGGCCGCCAGGTTCCGCTGGCTGGGCGCTCCCGCTGGTGAGGGGCGGCGCGAGGGCGGGAAGATAGCCGCGCATCGCGGGGCGCGATCTGCGCAGAGTCCGGTGACCCAGAACAGGGGCGGAGCAGCACGGCAGGGCCGTCGGGAAGGCCCGGCGGAGCGTCGAGCGGGGAGTCGGCAGAAGGGCGCTTGGTCGGGAGCCGGGCCGTCGAGCAGGGCCGTCGGGCAGGGCGTCGGGCGGGGCGTCGGGAACGGCGTTGGGCAGGGCGCCCCGCGCGCACAGAGAGCAGCTCACGGCACGAGAGACGCACGAGAGACGGGCTCGGATGCCTCCTGGCGGCGCCGGCACGGGCGCGCTTCGAGGTCGGGCGCCCGGGCGGGAGGCCCGCCCCAGGCCCTGGCGGGGCCGCCTGCGATCCGATTCGAGGCGATTCGATTCGCTGGCTGGGGCCGCGGCTCTGGCTCGATGTGTTCGAGTCCGTCCGGCTCGCTGGCATCAGCCCGGGCCAGCCAGAGCGCCGGGCGCGGCGATCCGACTTCGATCCCGTTCGCGGGCCATCCGATCCAGCGCCGGCCGGATCCGGCTTGGCGACTCGGTCCAGGTCAGGCCTGGCTTGGAGCCCACAGAGGGCGTAGGTGCAGGCCGACGCCAACGCCGGAGGCTGCCTCAGGGGCAACTTGGGGGGGGGGGAGGCTCAGCTCAGGGGGGGTGCGTCGACCAAACCGATGGGAGCCCGATAGCCCACCCCGGCCAGGACCTTGCGGATTCGCTATCGAGAGCCTATCTCACCGTGCGCGTTCCGCTACTCGCAAAGTGCCTACTCGCAAACGCCCGACAAGCCCATGTCTGCTTCGATGTACTTGATCGATATTAATCGTAGATCCCCCGCGGCGGATCCAGGCCATTTGCGAGCAGCTACTGTGCGAGTAGTGGAACGCGCCTGTCGGCTATCGCCGATCCATCGTTGATGTATCGCCGATTCTTGGTCGATGGTTCCCCCCCCCCTGAGCCAGCCCGCCCCTGCCGTCGCCCCTCCGAAGATGAGGGGAGGGCCGCCGCGCGTCGCCCCCTGCGGCCCGGGTCGGTGGTGCGCCCCTCTCCAGGGGGTCGGGCGGGTGGTACTGGGAAGTGGCCTGCGGGGGGGCGGAGGAAAGGGGGCCCCAAAGGGGCCCCTGCAGGGCCCTTTTCCTCCACCCGCCCGAGGGGGGCGGCGCGAGGGCGCGAAGACAATCGCCGGCCGATCGCGTTCAAGGTCGAAGAATCCCCTCGGTGTCAAGAACCAGCGGCGGGGTCGACACGACACGAACCCGCGGTACACTACTAACCCCTGCGGACATCGCGGGAGTTGCCCCTCGGGGTGGCCGCGGGCCTCTTCCACATGATGGACAGCGCCGTCCTGGCCGACAACCTGGAGCTCCTCGGGTGCTCCGACGTCACCGCCGCGCTGGACAAGTACCAGGACAATGCCCTTTTCTGTCGCGGCGACGTGCGGCACACTGCATCTGGGCCAGGAGTGGCCGCGGACTGGCTCGTTGTGGACCTGTGCGATGGGGGAGGCAGGAGAGCGGCCGCACAGAGGGAGGCTCGGGGAGACTCGCTCCTTTCCGCCCCATCCCTCACGCACCTTGCTCGTGTGTGTCGCCTGCGTCGTTAGGGGCAGGCCAATGCCGCATCCCCTCCCTCCCCACCCCTCCCCTCCCACTCCTCCCCCCCCATTAGCTCACCTCGCTCTGCCTCGCATCCCTGTCCCTGTCCCTGTCCCTGTCCCTGTCCCTGTCCCTGTCCCTGTCCCTGTCCGTCCCTCCGCTGCCGAGCCGAGGCCGTGACGGTGTCGTCGAACCTGTTCTTCGCGCCCGCCCTGTGCTCAGCAGGGCCGTGGGCGCCAGATCACCGCTGCCCTGCCGCGATGGCGGCGCCGTGCTTTGCCGCGGTCGCCATCCTCAGTGCTCCCCTCCCGCCTCCCTTGAGGCACGCCCTGGCGTCGATCACGGAGCAGAGAGAGTTTCACACTTCGCACGCGGGAGACCATACGGGATACGCTACGGGAGACCATGCGGAAGGCACCGGCCACCCAGGAGACCACACGAAAGACACACACAACATGGGAGGCCATACTCGCGGGAAGCCAACTGGGAGACCATTTGGCCGTGCGGGCCACCGGCTCTTGGGCAGGCCACCTGCCACCTGGCCTTTACGGACCATAGGATCTAGACACGGCACAGGCGAGCTGTTCAGGGGAACACTCGTCTGCGCTGGTCCGCTCCACCCAAAGAACGGATCTCGCTTCGGGCGTCGCGGCCTGGGCCACAGTGGCTGCCCTTCTCCAGCAAGGGGGGCGGCCGCGCGAGGGCGCAGGGACAACCGCGCCGCTGCGCAGTGCGAGGGCGCGGTGCGCGGAGGTGTGGGCGACTCCTGGGGCGCGAGGTGTGGGTCAGGGAGCACACGGGGGGGGAGGCCGCGGGCGACGCAGCGGTCGTGCCCTGGGCCCGTGCTCCGCCCGCGCACGGATCCGAGGCTGGGATTGAGTACATAACCAGCGCCTGGAGGATCGATCGTCGGAGATCTCGACGGGCGGTGGACATGGACATCTTGCGGAGGCCTTACGGCCGGTGCCGCCGACCCTGAGAACGACGAAGATGAAAACGAGGGGGGGCATGGGGAGGAGGATGAGTGGGAGGTGGAGGAAGGGTGGAGGAGGTGGATGAGGGAGGAAGAAGGGGGAGAAGGACGTGGAGGAGAAGCAAGAGGATGAGAAGGAGGCAGAGGAGAGCAGGAGGAGAGGGAGCAGAGGGGGGGCGAGGAGGAGGAGGAGGAGGAGGAGGAGGAGGAGGAGGCCGGAGGCTTTCTTGGGACAGCCTGGGGCTCTCTCGAGGCCGTCTTGGGCCGTCCAGGGCTCCTCTTGCGCCGTCTCGAGGCACTCTTGGAGGCCTCCTGGGCAATTTGGGGCTCCCCTGGGCTGTCTTGGGGCAATATTGGAGGCTTCTTGGGCCGTCTTGAGCTGACGGAAGCCCGAAGCGAAAATCTTTCAATAATCTAAGGAGATTGCTGATTGTTGTCTTTTCGGGTACTCCAGAGGGTCCTGTTGGAGCCCTCTTGGGCTGTCTTGGGCCATCCTGGCGGTCTTGGTGGCCTTCCTGGGCCGTCTTGGATTCCTCCGAAGGCCCTCGTGGGCTAGCTTGGGGCTCTTTTGGTGCGGTCCTGGGCCATCTAAGGCCCCTCTTGCGCCGTCTTGATGCCGTCTTGGAGGCCTCTTGGGTCATTTCGGGGGTCTTTTGGGCCGTTTCGGAGCAATCTTGGAGGCTTCTTGGGCCGTCTTGAAGCCGTCTTGAGCGGACGGATGTTCGCAGCGAGAATCGTTCAAAAACTGTTTAGGCAATCGGTGATTTTTGCTTCTTCGGGCCTTTGGAGGATCCTTTTGGAGCTCTCTTGGAGGATCGATCGTCGGAGACCTCGACGGTCGGCAGATTTGGACATATTCGGGCCCCTTGGGGCCCAGAGATGTCCACATCCATTCCACGGCGGTGGAGGTACCGTCGTGAAGCTCGGTAGGCCGCTTGCGGGAGCGCGAAGACAGCCACGCTTCGCGCGTCGCAGCCTGGGCCAGAGCGGCTGCCCTGCTCCAGGGTGGTGGCACGAGAGCGCGAAGATGACCGCGCGTCGCGAATCTCCAGGGCGCGAGGGCGAGGAGTAGTTAGGTGATCTGGGCGAAGGGTCACGGCCGCGGTCATCGGCTCGCCTTTCCGCGGCGCCCGTCGGGCCGGGCCGACATGCGGGTGCACCCGGGGCTCCTTTTTTGAGCGGGGCGGAAGTGCCCGCCGTGATCTCTCCACGGCGCCCAGGCGTCAGGGGACCGCAACGACGATGACGACGACGAAGACGAAGACGACGACGACGACGACGACGACGACGGCGGCGGCGGCGGCGGCGGCGACGACGGCGGCGGCGGCGGCGGCGACGGCGACGGCGACGGCGACGGCGACGGCGACGGCGACGAAAGCGACGACGGCGACGCCGCCGACGCCGACCATGACGGCGACGGCGACCCTGACGGCGACCCTGATATCCGCCGATATGGTTTTGTCAACTTGCAGCCCCAATGGTCCTGACCCCGTACCTGGGGGTAGTTTTTCGTCCCGGGCCTGTTTTTGTTTGTCGGGGGGCCCGACAGCGGATCCCAGATGCGGAAATCGGTGAAAAATGCCAGGACTTGAGAAATCAGATCGTCGGAGATCCAGAACGACGGCGGCGGCGGCGGAAGCGGCGACGACAACGACGACGACGTTGACGACAATCCCTACGAGAGGTGTTGGGAACCAACCCGCACGTGGCGCCTGGGGCGGTGCCAGACTTCCCCGCGCTGCTCGCGGACCTCCTGGAGCCCGGGCCCCGGGCGATCAGCCGGGCGCTGAGCTTCGCAAACAAGACGGAGTTCGCAAAGCAGGCCGCCGAGCGCAACAGCGGGCCGCCGCCGAGTGCGCCGCCAAGCGCCGCCGCCGCGGGTGCCGTGGGCGAAGCAGATCGCCAAACGCCGCCGAGGGCCGCCGCCGAACGCCGCCGCGGCGAAGCAGACCGCCGAGCGCCGCCGCGGGCCGCCGTTGAGCGCCGCCGCGGCCGCCGCCACGAGGGTCCAGCGCCGATCCAAGAAATCCGCGCGAACTTTTTATATATATATATATATACATACATACATATACACATACATGTGTACATCTGTACATGTGTACACATATACATCTATACACATCAGACGTTTTCTCTGAATATTTTTCCGATTCTAAGAACTTGCGCCGTGGCTGGAGGAGGAGGAGGAAGAGGAGGAGGAGGAGGAGGAGGAGGAGGAGGAAGAGGAGGAAGAGGAGGAGGACGACGAGGAGGAGGAGGACGAGGAGGAGGAGGAGGAGGAGAAGGAGGAAGAGGAGGAGGAGGAGGAGAAGGAGGAAAAGAAGGAGAGTTGTCTCGGCTGCTATCATGGCCCGATAGGGCCGCCATCACGAGGGCCCGCAGTGGAGCAGGGTCTCAGCGATTGGGGGGCACCCGCCGCGTGGCCTGAAGCGGGGGTGCTGTGTATGGCCGCGGTGTCGAGGTGCCCAATTGGTGCGGACCGCTGGTCAACATTGCGCCTCCAGAGGGACCGCATCGGCTGGCTCTCACCCCTCTCCTCGCCACGACGCGCCTTGGCCATCCAAGCGCATCCAGGGAACCAGGCGGGTGACATCCCAGAGCGGGGGTCGGGACTTCGTAGAGGGGGGGTTATACCAAGGTAGGCTCAGGGAACGGACCCAGCTGGATGGTTACATTTCCTTCTTCCAGGAGCCACTTGGAGCGATTTTTCTCTAAACCCACTTCTGCCCCTACCCTACGGCTAGGTCCCCCCGAGGGGAGGCGAGCCTCGAGCGTGCTAATTACGGTAGTGGTCCGCCAACCGCAGAGGGTATCCTCCCAGAGGGAGAGGGACGGCCCGGTGGCTCCCCTCGGCCAGCTGCGGGGAGCCAGCTTGAAGTAGAGACGCATGGCAGGCGCGCCGATGGACACGCTGCCTAGTGCCGTGGGAGTTTTTGGAGGGGTGAGCCGGTCCGGTCGAGTCGTGTCGACCGGCGACGACCCCGCCGCCGGCGTTCTGCGTTGATCGTCGCAGGCGACCCAGAATCGATCGATGTTGAGCGATCGGACGTTTCGGAAGCTGCCGATCGTTCGAGGTTGAAAGATCCACGCGGTGTCAGGAACCAACGTCGACGTCGGCACGACACGAACCTGCTGCACATGAACTGCCACGGGAGAGCGACAACTATCCACTGGATTACCATTTGTTCGGACCTGGTCTGCTTGCCCGACAGTTGGGTACTTGCCTTGCCTGCCTCGCGCGCGGGAGTGGCCCCAGGGCTGGAGCGGGGGCCGATCCGGTCGAATCAGCGCAGGCGCTTTTGAGCAAGCTGGAAGCTCGTATATCTGCGCGCCCTCTGTCGCTCCATGTCTTCGGAAGCATCCCTACATCTAATGTGACACTGCGATATGCTCTGGGAACCGCTAAGATGACATGCCCAGGCTGGAATCTTGACAGGACCTTTGCTCGCAGGGAGTATTCACCCGTCCTCCACCTGAGCATTCTTCATCGTTCTTCTACGTGGGATGTACTCCGCGCGAGGAGTTCATCATCAGAGACTCTGACAGGGGACAGGGGAGGTGGACGAAGTATAGCATGCCCATTGGGCGGCATGTAACCAGTTTTATTTGCGAGAATGTGCAAACTGTGCTCGGCGGAAACGCCGACTACAGCTCGAAGTTGTAGGTGGCCGCTTTCGCCGAGCACGGCTATCAAAGGGATTGCGCAGCCGACGGCCCCCACGATTCTCAGAAGTTCGGCCCCTTGCGCTTGCTCGGTCTTCGCGCTGCCAGTTTTTCGAAGCGCCTGCAACGCAGCGGATCCTGAAGCAACCCAAGAACTGTGGGGCGAGGTTTCGGTTTCCCGTCCCGACACGAAGGCCGGCCCCCTTGACGTACCACAGAAGCAGTCCAGAATTTGGACACATGATCACGCTCGAAGGCTGGCCAGGCTGTCCACGACAGGAGGACGAGGAGGTCGAGGAGAGGGAGCAGGAGGGGGGAAGAGGAGGAGGAGGAGGAGGAGGACGAGGAGGAGGAAGAGGAGGACGAGGAGGAGGAGGAGGAGGAGGAGAGGAGGGACGAGGAGGAGGAGGAGGAGGAGGAGGAGGAGGAGGAGGAGGAGGAGGAAGGAGGAGGAGGAGGAGGAGGAGGAGGAGGAGGAGGAGGAGGAGGAGGAGGAGGAGGAGGAGGAGGAGGAGGAGGAGGAGGAGGAGGAGGAGGAGGAGGAGGAGGAGGAGGAGGAGGAGGAGGAGGAGGAGGAGGAGGAGGAGGAAGGAGGAGGAGGGGAGGAGGAGGAGGAGGACGAGGAGAAGGAGGAGGAGAGGAGGAGGAGGAGGAGGAGGAGGAGAGGAGGAGGAGGAGGAAAAGGAGGGAAAAAAGGAGGAGGAAAGGAGGAGGAGAGGAGGATGAGAAGAGGAGGAGGAGGAGGAGGAGGAGGAGGAGGAGGAGGAGGAGGAGGAGAGGAGGGAGGAGGAGGAGGAGGAGGAGGAGGAGGAGGAGGAGGAGGAGGAGGAGGAAGAGGAGCAGGTGCCGGGTGCACGTCTGAGTTCCAGCCCCAGAAGCTGCCGGCGCCAAAATCCATCATCTGGCTCCGCCTCACCCGCGCAGCTGTTTTTGCCCAAGCCAATGCTCAAGAATAAAGCTTCTTTGCGCGCTCTACCTCTTTCCCGGCCAAGATCTAAAAGCGCGCCGCATGGAGACATCAGCTGATCGACCTCGCGGTGCTCCGCATGGACCATCAGCCGATATGGACCTGATAGGTCTCAAGGTATGGGTGCACCCTTCTATGCAGATGCCGTTCAAGCTCGACCCTGAGGTGCACCTGTTCAAGATGGAGCCATCGATGCTGATCGTTGACCTCATGGACAAGCTGGAGCTTCTGTTCGAGAAGCTGTCCAAGAAGAGCAGTCAGGAGACTGGGGGCCCTTGCCACGAGATGCAGATCAATGTGCTCTGGAACGTGAAGGACCATAAGAAGGCGCTGAACCCGAACAGCAAGATTGGCGACCACTTCGAGTCTGGTGACACTTTCGGCGTGTACGGAGACATACTGGAGGCATTGGACAAGGAGTTCAAGACGGAAGACCAGAAGGTCCCAGTGACCATTTGATGGCTTTCGGTCACTGCAGACCCCCCTGCCCCAGGCATGGAGGGATCCCAGTTCGTCATTGTTGCCGTCATCCTGCATCGTCTGTTCGTCGTCCTCATGGGGGCTCCTGGGGCTGTCTTGGGATCGCTTTCTGGCCTGGGCCCGCGCTCTTCCCGTCGATTCGTGCTCTCGGATTCGGGGGCCCTCTCGGGGCAGTCTCTGGGCCTTCTCGCTGCTGTTTTGGAGCCTCTAAGAGCACAGCACGCTGAAGTTCCTAATCTGCCCACGCGTCCGGTGATGCCAGGCCACAGTCAATCAGTCAGGAGCCTCCTGGGACCTTCTCGGGGCGGTATTGGCGGGCTCTGAGTGGCATTGGTCGGGTCGGGCGAAGGGGGGGACCGAGAAGGGCCGGATTGCGAAATCTGCTGCGTGCAGCTGGTCTGGCCCCGCCGCCGCGCGCTTTCCTCGATACATTAGCGCCTCGGGCGCCAGGAGGCGCTGGGGAAACCAGCTGCGTGGCCTTGGGAGCCGAGCGCAGATCCATGACTTACCAGCGGTCGTGTCCTCAGGAGCGCGGATATTTTCTATGTTAGAGAAGAGCGTTTGGCCCTGGGAGCTGGGATCCATAGTAAACTACGAGGGCGCGTGCCCTTGAAAGCGCGGACCCATGGTTTTCCTGAAGGGATCGCGTCGGGCTTCGTGGGTCGTCTTGGAACGATATCAGGCCCTCTGGGGCCGTCTTGGGCGCTGATAAGACACGAAGAGGGTGTCAGACGATGTTTGTCTCTCGGCTCTCTCGGGGGGTCCTCTTGGAGCCCTCTTGGAGCGTCTTGGAGCCTTCGAGGGCAGTCTTGAGGCCATCTTGGCTGTTTTTGAGGAGGCCTCAGCGAGGTGGAACGCAGCTTGAGCTGGCTTAGATGGCATCTAGCGCATGTTGGATGCCATGGGATGTAGATTTGGAGCCTCCCGAGGCCCCGGGGGTGTGTTGGCGAGCTCTGGTCCCCAGCCCCCCTTAAACTGGATTTGGGGCTCCCGGGGAGGGGGAAAGGGGAAGGGGTACAGCCGAATGTCCCACACGCCTTTCCACGCCGGGCAAGCGGGGGCCGGTGGATTAGGAACCGTGGCCATGGGAGGGGCGATCTGTTGTATTTCACACAGGTGGTATCGCGGCCATGGGGGCGCGGATACAGTGTGATAACCAGGGATCTCAGCCTCGGGAGCACGAACCCCGTGTAATGTACAAAAAGGCTTGTGGTCCTTGTGGTCCTGAGGGCACGAACCCCTTGTGTAATTGATTGGGGTCGTGGCCATGGGAGCACGGACCGAGTGCAATTTGAAATGGTTCGTCGCCTAGGGAGTGCGAAACCGTCGTAATCCATTTGGGATCGCAGGCTTGGGAGCGAAGATCCAGCGTAGTCTTCTGTGGATCGTAGTCTTGCGAGCGCGGGACCAGTGTAATTCAAAAGCGTCGCAGCCTGTGAAGCAACCGCTTGGCGTGGCACAGTTGTAGAGGAGCCTCCAGCCTGTGCCGCTGGTCAGGACGCTCGAGGACGCTCCGTGCGAACCCGTCATGTTGAATAGTTGGTGAGTTTTACCTCGAGGAGGCAGGAGGGATGATGAAGAGAGAGGTGGTGGATGAGGAGGAGGGCGAAAAGGAGGAGGAGGAGGAGGAGGAGGAGCAGGAGCAGGAAGGGGATCAGTGCAAACCCAAGACTCACTCACGATGTTGAGGGACACCCTCCCTCCAAGGTCCCTTTTCATAGGCCCGTGCAAGGGGTCATTTGCACTGAAGGATTTGCCCCGTTGGGGGACAACCGTGTGGCCCTCTTGAAGCGCGCCAAGACACCATTCTCAGGATTTCAGCGCCATGAGTTAACCTGACTGTTACGTTTTGGCGATCCGGAATCGTGCCATAACACCATTCTTGGGATTTCTTCAACACCGCGAATCATCGTAATTGTTGCGCCAAGCTCTTGCAATTTTTTAGAACGAACATGTGCGGCGCTAGAGCGAGAGCCACATTTTGAAAACGACCCGCCCTCAAACCGTGAAGCTATTGTCAATATTTGAAGCGAATGAGCGCAGCGCTAAAGGCGACAACCTATGACTGCTTTGCAGGTGGTTAATTCCTCAGAGGGAGTTGCGTCGCGACGAGGTGTGTTAGATATGTCTGTGCAGTCTTCTCTGATATATCTGGCTCTGCAGTCCTGTCTGGCTCAGGAATGGACTTCGGGCAGGCGTGGCCGCTCCTCTCACAGTGGGGGACGGCCGCATTTGGAGCAGCGCTCGGCCAGTTTGTCCGCGAATGCCCGCAGCACTGCCATAGCGACGGCGACTGCCGAGGCGACCCCATCATCGGTGCGGCTCCCGCGCCGCTGCCAGCGGCCGAGGCCCCAGCGATCCTCATGGAGGTCTTCTTCCTCGGGGTGCTCGCTGGCGTGGCCATCGCGCTCTCAGTGCTGGTGGCAATCGCCCAAGACTTGATCCGTCGCGGGGCGGTGGGTTCCCCGCTAAGTCGCCGCCGCAGGCGGCCACCATCAGCGGCTCTCAGGCGCCTGCGAGAGCCGGCGGGGAGGCGCCAACAGGAGCGGTCCAGAGCGGCAAGACGGGCGGCAACGGCGTCGTGGTCGCGACGTCCACTGACAGTCTGTGAGTGCGATGGCGGCGGCAGGAGCCGCTGCCGCTGCCGTGCTGGACCGAGGCTCGGCAGCCTGGGTCCACTACGGCGCCGCCGAGCATCATGCTAGGCTGGTGGGCGCACGCGTGGAGAATGATGAGTACGTTGTCGCGTCCCCCGATTACGACTTGTTCATAGAACAGCTCAGCCTGAACAGCGCGGATCTCGAGGGGGTCCGCTTCTCGGCCACCATCGACGTACGGCCGCGAGGAGTCCAGTCCTGGCAGCGTGCTATACACCTTCGCCCCGCTGACCGTTGCCGAGATCAGCGGGCTGCTCGCGGAGGCGGGCCAGGTCTGCAACCTCGAGCGAACCCACCGCGGGCTCCCGCGGCTGGGCGAGGCCGCTCGCGCGCCTGGCGGCGCCGCGGCGGTGGCGATACCCGTGCCTGCTGTCGCCCCCGCGCCTGGAGGAGCCCGCCTGGCTCCCGCAGGCGGCGTTTGGGTCCCCACTGAGCCCCTCGTTGGTCACGACATCGGGGCCGAGTTCGCGCTGCCCGTGGGGGCCGCGGTGCTGGGGACGAGGGCGCTGGTGGTCATCGACGGCTCAGTCGCCAGCCTCGAGATGCTCGCGGAGGGGGTTGACATCACATGGTGGCCCTCGCTCGCAGTCCTCTGTGGCGACCCGAGGATCCCGGCGTGGGCCCCGACAGAGCGCGCCCTGGTCGAGGCCGTCGGGCTCATGACCGCATGCGCTCGTCAGTCTGAGGGGTTGCCTCCGTCTCCTTTGCTGCGGCCGTTTGTCGGGGCCGAGTGGATCGATTCAGTGATCAGGGGCGGCGTCGCAAGCCTGGTCGCACGTGCGGACAAGTGGCGTAGCGACAGTGGTGCGAGGCAACACAGCTCGGCCGCCCACGAACACTCCATCCTCCATCGCGCAGTCCACCTGCTGGCGACGGTCGATGGGCTGAACGTCAAGAACATGGTGGGGGTTGAGCTCCTCTTGCGACGGATCACGTTGCATAAGGAGGCAGTGGCCGAGAACCCCGACGCCCTGAGCTACGAGGGCGGCGATCACCACCTCGGCATCAGCGATCGGGCATGCGGTGCACAGACGGTCCCGTCGCTGCGGGCCCACGTTGCGATGGAGCTCAGCAAGGGGGCGGCTATCTTGAAGGAGAAGAGGAAGGCTCGGGAGGCCAGGGCTACCGGCGTCGCGATTGCGAAGGCCGAGGCAGACCCCACGGCCTCTGCCGATATTTGAAGAAGTGAGTGGGGGTGGCGTCGTCAGCAGCCGCCCCGATCTTCGACGCGAACGCTGGCGCGATGTCTGAGGGGGTCTCCTCGGGCAGCAACGCTGCGCATCGCCGCCCTGAGGCCTGGCCTCGCCGACGGCGAGAGGCAGCAGGAGATCGGTGCAGTCGAGGTCTCCCCCCCCTGCCCGACGCCCCTCGTCGCCTTCGCCCTGGGAACGGCAGCGGGGGGAAGGCGCGGCTGCACCGCGAGCGGCGGGCGGCCGTCCAATCGGCGGCGCAGGAGGCAGTCGACGGCCTGGGCCTGCTCTTCGGGCGCGACCCGCGGGAGCTCTCAGCGCCGCCGCTGCGCGAGGGAGCTGGTGCTGACGTCGGCCGCAGCTCCGCGCGCAGTGCGATTCACCGACATCTGTTAGCGACTATCGCTTCGGGACTTCCCGATCATGTACAGAGCGGCCACGGCTCTCTCTGTGAGTTGGCTGGTAGCATCGTGGACTACGAGACGCTTGCATGCGCGGTCGGGCCATGCGACCCGACCGAGGTGTCCTTGCCCAAGGTGCAGGTCTCGCCCGTCGATTTGATTTATATCGTTTCTCCCGAGCTCGGCCGCTGTCTCGATCTCGAGAACATGTTGGCCGATGCCGACGTTGTCGAGCACGGTCTGCGATGCGAGCCCGCGGGGTCCGACGCCGACGCCCCGATCCAGGGGGGCGAGGACATCGAAGTCACGTTCCTCAGAAGCCTCATCGATTGCGGGATCTGAGGTTCCAGCAAGGTCCCCAATGGTAGGATCGCGCCGTTCTTCGTCAAACAAACAGAATCGTCAGAGACTCGCCCTCGACTGTCGCAGGGTCAACCAGCTATTCCGCCACCGTCCTACGCCTGAGATGAGGTCGGCTGAGAACGTGCGCGGCCTCGAGGCCCCCGACGGAGACGCCTTTCTATTCGCGGCGACGGGGGGCGCCCATAATTGCTTCCACCAGCGCGGCGCGCCGGCTGCGCTCAGTGCGTTCTTCAGCTTCGGAGCCGCGGCAGTTGACCGCGCAAAAAAGCGGGGGGCGGGCTCGGGTGCGGGGGGGGGCCGTTGCCTTGAGAGGGGCGCGTCTTCCCCTGTCTGCTCGCACTGCCGACGGGCTGGGCGCGGTCGTTTTGCATTGCCCAGGCTTTGCGCGCCGAATTGTTCAGAGAGGCGGGGTTTAGACAGGAGCTCATCATGTCGAATGCCTGGCCCGCCCCCCCCCCTCTGTCGGGCGATCCCATTGCTCTGCCTCATTGCGACAACCTGACCGTTTTCGGGATGTCGAAGGATCGGGTCGTTCAGCGTCTCCACGAGCTCATCGGTGTCTTTGAGGGGGGGGGGGGCTTTGTTCTGCGCGAGATCTTGGGCTTCCACCTCCTCGGACATCTTGGGGGCCTCGCTCGACGGGGCGAGGCGCGCGGTGCGGCCCAGGCCCGGGCGGGCTTGGATTATGCGGGGTGCTCTGCGGCATAATGCCCAGGGCGGTCGCGTCTCTGGAAGGGCCCTCGAGTGCCTCTTGGGCCACTGCGTCGTCGAGGCCCTCAACTTGTGGCTTAGGCTTGCGCCATCGGTATTGCGGGCCTCCTACGTGTTCACTCGGGGCTGCTGCGAAGCTCCAAGGCCCCCGTGGGACTCCGTGCGCCGCGAGCTCCTGGTCTGCGCCAGCCTGGCCCCCTTGCTCTCAGGCAACTTCGGGTGCCCATGGTCCTCGTCAGTCCTCGCAACCAATACCTCTGGTAGTGAGTGGGGAGCGATGGAGGCCAAGCTCGCCAGTGACGAGGTCGGGGAGATGTGTCGGTAGAACGAGAGGTTGATGCACCAGCGTCTACCCCCCTCGGAGCGGGCCCCTCGTAGACGGGCTCTGGCGGCCGACCTGGGCCCCCTCGTGGACGCCGCGGCCTCGGACGCGGGCCCCCGGGACCTCGACGTGCTCGGCGGCGCCCCCTCGGAGTTGACCCGGCAGCCTCGCGCGGGCGCCCCCAAGACTCCGCAGTCCACCATCCTAGGTCGGTCCAGGAAGTGTTGGAGGGCGGGGGGATGCAGGTTCGAGGAGCCGCTCGGCAATCAGGAAGTGAGGACTGTCATCAAAGGTATGTGCCTCAAGCTTCGGGGCCCCCGTCAGCTCCGCCAGGGGCACCTCGTCCTCGCTGGCAACTCCGGCGTAGCCTTTTGTTTTTCAAGAGGGCGTTCATCTTCTGCCGAGCACCTGCAGCTGGTCCGACGCCTGGCGGCCCTCTCGATTGCGACGGGCTCCTGGGTGGCGCACAGATGGGCGCCGAGCGAGTTCAATCCCAATGCTCCGTCTCGTCTGTTCGACCAGTTGACTAAGGCGCGGTCTACGCCCTATGAAGCGCCTACGCCGGAGGCCGCTGGGACCCCAGTGGGGGTCGAGCCGCGGCGGACGGTGCCATCGGTGGGCCGCGGCCGAGGGCGTGGCGCCCCGAGGCGGCGCGCCGCTGCGGCCCCCTCTCCTGCTGCGCGGCCGCTGGCCCTGACGCTTGGGCGCCGAGCTCAGACGGGCGGCCTCGGCGCCTGCGAGCTCGCGACCGTAAGTTCCAAGGGCGCGTCCGCGCGCGCGCACTTCGAGGGCTTGTTCCGCGCGCGGCGGCAGCGCCGAGGCAGGCCCACCAACGACCGCAGCGAGCTCGAGGTCAACCTGCTCGACTACCTGGACGAGCTCCCGGCGGACAACGCGAAGCTCGCCCACGCCGAGAAAACGGCGCGCGGCCTCCTCTACAGCACCCTGCCAGGCAAGATCCGCGACTACTCTCGGCTCCAGCGAGCCCTCGAGGGATGCAAAAAGCGGCTCCCGCCTGTCAGCAGAATGCCGCTGCCGATCGAGGTCGAGTCAGGCGTCTGCGCCCTTCTCATCGGCGACGGCGAGGGGGCCGCGGCCCCGTGCGTCGAGACCGTCTTCGCGGGCTCCTGCCGCCCTGGGGAGGTGCTCCGCGCCGCAGTGGGCGACTTGGTCAAGCCAGGGACATTAGGGGGGGGGCGGCTCTCCGCTGGCGGTTCCTGCTCGCGGCGCCCGAGGAGAGGTTGCTGCCGTCAAAGACCCAGGCCTTCGATGACGCCGTCGCATTCGACTACCCGGGCTGGCTGGGCGACGTCACGGGGGCCCGGGTAGGCCATGCCACGCATGGGCGCCCCCTCTTTCCTTTGGATGCCGTCAGAGTTGCGCGCTTTTCAAAGATGCTGCCGCCGAGCTCGGAGTCGATGCGTCTTTGTGCCAGTTGCGCCGTGGTGGTGCCTCAGATGATCTGCTGAAGCGCCGCCGTGCCTTGGGTGAAATTCAGTACCGCGTCAGAGTCAAGCGCTGTGATACTTTGCGTCGCTATGCAAAACCTGGCAAGATCCAGCAAGCTCTCCGTCGCTTGACCCCCGCGAACCGTCAGTGCTGCGAATGGGCACAGTGCCATCTGAAAGGTTTTTTTTTTGTTGTGGCACTGTGGGTGCGAGACGGCCGCGATCCGCCCTCGTCTTTTCTACTTTCTGTATGCCGACCTCTCCCCCGCCACCGCCCGCTCGCACCCCTGTTAAGGGTCTGTTTTGCCGTGGCGGGTCAGGGCCCGCGGCGATTCCATCGCTTGTGCGTTGCGTTTCTGCGCGCGCAATCTTATTATGACCGAGCTGCCGCTCTGGTAACTTCCTGGCGCTGAGAGAAAGTTCGAGCTCGCCTCCGACACCCCGCCAGACGCCCCTCCCGGAATCATATAACTGCTTTGCTGGTGGTTGATTCCTCAGAGGGAGTTGCGTCGCGAGGAGATGTGTTAGATATGTCTGTGCAGTCTTCTCTGATATATATGGTTATGCAGTCCTTTCTGGCTCCCTCTAGCCCACCCTTCAACCTATGGAAGTTTCTCGTCAAATTAATTGCATGGCTGTTTGTTGTATCGTGGCGGGCCAGAGCCCGCGGCGATTCCAGTGCTTGTGCGTTGCGTTTCTTCACGCACAATCTTATTATGACCGAGCTGCCGCTCTGGCAACTTCATGGTGCCTGAGAGAAAGTTACAGCTTGTCTCCGACACCCCGCCAGACGCCCCTCTTGGAATCACCATATTGAAAAAGGAACCGCCCTCGAGCCACGAAGCTATTTTTTTTTAAAGTGAAGAAGCGGATGTGCGCGGCTCTTAGGCGAGAGCCACATGTTGAAAGCCACTTGCCGTCAATCCGTGAATCTCTCGCACACTTTTTGAACGAATGTCCGCGGCGCTCAGGCGAGGGCCACATTGTGAAAATTACCCGCCCTCAACCCATGAAGCTCTTGCATTTGTTTCAGCGAGAGTGCCTGGCGCTAAAGCGAGATCCACATGATGAAAACGACCCGCCTTCAACCCGTGAGTCTCTTGCAATGTTTGCGAACGAGTGTGCGCGGCGCTAAGGCGAGAGCCACATTTTGAGAACGACCCGCCTTCAATCCATGAGTATCCTGCAATGTTTTGAACCGATTGCACGCGGTGCTAAGGCGAAAGCCACATGTTGAAAACGACCCGCCCTCAATCAGTGAAGCGTTTGGACATGTTTTAAACGAGTGCGCGCGGCGCTACGGCGAGAGGCACATATTGAAAACGACCTGCCTTCCATGTGTGAAAGTGTCCTCAACTTCTAAACAGCAGGGTCATCATTGGTGAGGGAGTCTCACGCGAAACGCATGCCCCGCCCTTTCGATTGGCCTCGGTGTGCGGCAGGGGGGGCGATCTATAAAGGAAAAAGGAATGGAGCGCAATATGCGTTGGACGGAATGTTTGCCCTCGCGTCCGTCTGTCGAGGTTGTTGGCGGGCTAGTTTCTCGACGAGTTGGCTCGTTGGTGGGTGGTTGGGCGGGTCGTAGTGTGAACATATCGTTCCTTCCCGTCATACCTACCTTCTCGTATTTGGTGGCCTGTGGCTCATCCCGCCGCCGTGCCTTGGTTGTGGGTCCGCGGCTTTTTGGAGGTTCGTTGGGATCTCGTTGGAAGTCGGGTGCCTTTTGGATGCAGTTGTGAAGTTTCTTGGGGCCTCTTGGGGGCTTCCTGGGAGCCTCTTGGGGGCCCCTTTCGGGGCCTTTTGGGACCCCCATTGGGGCCTCTTTGGGCTTCCTGGAGGCTTCTTAGAGCGACAAGCTCGAATCGTCGGTTCATGTTCCCCCTCTTTGGGCCGCATTGGGGCCATTGTGGACCTTCTTGGGCGACTCTTGGGCCGTTTCCGAGCCCTCTTGGGTCGTCGTGGGGCCCTTTTGAAGGCCTCTTTGGTTGCCTTGCGGCGGTTTGGGGGGCCTCCTGGCCCGTCTAAGAGTCTGAGAAGCTCGAAACAGCGAGAATTTCAAAAACATGCTTCTGCAAAAGAACAAAGGAGATCACGGTATTTTACCTCGTGGGGCCCTTTTTGGGGGCTCTCTTGGAGCGTTCTTGGGGCCTTTTGGTCCATCTTGAGGCCATTTTGAGCGTGTAGGAGTTTTTGTTGGGCCGTTTTGGCGGCCGTGGCAGCGTTGCCGCCCCCATTCCCCCCTTCCCCCCCTTCTCCCTTCAGCCCTTCCAGGACAAACCGCCCCCACACCCTTCCTCCTGCGGCGCGGGGGCGGCACCAGAATTGGAAGACCCCCCCTTTCTCCCGCAGAGCCCCCCCGGGACCCCCCCCAGCAGAGCTGAAGCTCATGCTGTTTTTTTGCTACCTCACACGCTGGATCGGCGGATGTCCTAAGGGGTCTTCCTGGGAGGGCGGTGTGTTCCGCTCTGCGCTCGGAGCGTTTTGTATTGGTCGCGATGCGTGTTGGAAGCGCACTCTCACCGTGGTTTACATGTTGTCGTTGTGGGTTTTGTCGGAATGTTTTCGCCCTGAAAGCGCGCTGCAAGCCAAAGCAAAGCGGGCGTTGCAGAGCACCCAGCGGCAGAGGATTGCGGCCCTGGGAGCGCGGACTCGGCGTGGGGTCGTGGTCCAGGGAGCGCGGATCCAGCGTAATCTGCAGGGGGTCGGGGCCTGAGGAGCGCGGGCCGTTTGTCAACGTGTCGGGGGTCGTGGCCCTGGGAGCGGAGACCCCCTGCAACTTGCGAGGGGTCGTCGGCCTGGGAGCGCAGACCCTCTCTGTCATTCTCGATGCTTCGCGTATCCCATCAGCTTGCAGCTCGGTGGCAGTATTGGCGCATGGGCCTTCGCGTCCTCGTCCATCGTTGCTTCCTGGCGGTGTCCAAAGACGATGGCTGGCGCACTGGCCCCACCATGGGCATCAGCGTGGTTCGTGAAGTGGGGGCTCGGTTTTTCCCCCATTCGGCTTCTGCCTATGTCCCAGCCGGTCCCGCACACAGCGGTGGGACGGTCCTCGCGCTGGGTGGTTCAGCCTTCAACGCGTCGGTCTGTCCGTTCTGCATCCGGTTTCCGCGAGGTGCAGTGCACCGGCATGGGCCTGCGTATTCTTGCTCATCGTTGCGACCCCGACCTGTCACTGGCATCGGTACGATGACGACACGCTGGCCCCCCCCTTTCAGCTGTGGAGCGGCCCGCGAAGTGTGTGTGTGTGTGTGAGCGGTTCTGTACCTGCAGTTCACCCACTCTCATCGTGATCTGGTTGTGGCAGGTCCAGTCCTGGCCGCACCTCTACGCCTTCCAGCTGGCGACGGCTGCAGCGCACCTTGGCACCCCCACCCGTTACCCGATGGCAGCAGTACTGACGCTTGGGCAGGCGCGTCCTATCATCGTGGTTCAGACTCGTGAGTGGTTTCGGAGCTGCTGGCTGGTCGGCCCCACCATGGGCACGGTGTGGATCGCGGAGTGAGCACTGTGCAGGTTCTTGCCTCTTCTGCCCCGTCTGTGCCGACATCGTTACGGCTGCACCAGCGTACGACCTGCCCGGGCTAGGTCGGCCGCGCGGACTGGCGCCAGCAGGGCGACTCTCCGCTCCTGAATGTAGAGCATTTTGCTTATTGCACGTGCGTTTGCTTCGATTGCATGTCCTACTGCAGTTGCTTCTGTTGTAGTTATGCGAGCTGGCTCGCCGACGCTGGCGGCCGTGTTCGCAAATTCGCACCGTTCCGCCGGCCCGGACGTCGCTCCCGCTCCCTGGCGGTCGCTTTGGAGCCGTTAACCAAAAAACGTATCCCACCAGCCCATCCCAAAGCAATCAATCACAGTCCATCCAAAAACAGCCACCAATCACCAGACTAGGGGGGATGTAAACCTATCCCCGAAGGAGGGAAGGACTCACTTGCCAAACCACCTACACCCAAAGGGCTTGTGGGATTTAGCATGGGTCGCAGCCTTGTGAGCGCGGACCCATGGGAATTTACAAGAGCTGGTGGTCCTGTGAGCGCGGGCACCTTGTGTAGCTTACAGGGAGTCGTGGGACGGGGAATCGTGGCCATTGGAATGTAATTCGCGAGGGATCGTGTCCCTGAGAGCGCGGGTCCCTGGTGTGGTTTACAGGGAATCGCGGCCCTTGGAACGCAGATCCCCTGAGGCTTATCAAGCTTCGTGGGATGCACAAGTCGCGGGCTCCCTTTGGTCAAGCTGAGGGGGTCGATGGGTGGAGCAAAGGGGAGACTTACAGAGAGGGAGCAGGTGCAAGTAATAGCGCTTCAGAACAACTAAAGCACTTGAACCACTGCAGCGTGACGATCCACGGCCTTGAGGTCCTACAGAGGGGGGCGGCGGATTTTGACAGGCTTCTTGGGCTCCGGCAAGACAACTTTGCTGAATTACATTCTAGAGGAGCAGACCGAGATGAAGATAGCCATCATCGAGAACGAGTTTGGTGAGATCTCCATAGACGACGCCCTTCTGAAGAAGGAAAAAAAGTCCATGGCTGAGAAGGTGCTCGTCATGGATAATGGCTGCGTGTGCTGCACCATCAGGGGTGACCTCGAGAAGGGGCTGAAAGAGATCGTAGGTGACATTGCGAATGGTGGTGGTGTAGATGCCGTCCTCATTGAGACCACTGGCATGGCTGATCCGGTGCCCATCGTGAGGACGTTCATGCAGAGTGAGTCGATCTCGGATGATCTTCGCTTGGATGCCATTGTGACTATGGCAGATACGAAAAATCTCCAGACGCGCCTGGATGACGACGTGGAGGAGGGCAAAGTGAACGAGGCCTACCAGCAGATTGCCTTCGCCGACAAGATCATTCTCAACAAGCTGGACCTGATCACCACGGAGGAGGCCATCCAATGCAAGGACAGAATCCGGGGGATCAACAAGTACGCGAAGGTCATCGGCGCGGTGAAGGGAAGGATCAAGCTGTCGGAGATCTTGAACTGCCGTGCCCATGACATGAGCAACTTCGTGAACATTGACATAGAGAAGGAGGCCGAGGCCAACGTGGTCCTTGACGACGGCCACGGCGGAGGCCAGGACGACGGCCACGGTGGAGGCAGCGGGCACGGTGATGGTCACCTAGCTGGCCATATGGACGTCGACAGTGGCCACGACGGCGGCGGCCATGGGGGCCATATGGAGGTCGACGGTGGCCACGGCGGCGGCGGTCACGTTGCCACGAAAGGTCACGCCCATAGCAGTGCCAACAAGAGCAGGCACGACAACCGCGTCAACTCTTTCGCAGTGGTGAGGGAGGGTGAGTGCGTACCTTCAAAGCTGAGCGACTGGATGCGGATGATAGGCGCGCTGCCGCCTGAGAGGGGCCGCATCTTCCGCATCAAGGCCATTTTGGCAGTGAAGGGCCATCCCTACAAGCACATTTTTCACGCGGTCATGGACGTCAGCGACGAGGACGACGCGGATATGTGGCAGGAAGGAGAGAAAAGGATCTGTAAGATAGTGTTCATTGGAAAGAGTTTGGACCAGCAATTCCTGCAGAACGGTTTCGAGCAGATTTTTGAGGCATAGCTCTGCTCCAGGTGTCGTGAAGAGCGGTCCGTGTACTGGGCCTCAGTGGACCATCCACCCCTGGGTCATCTGTTGCTTGCCAGCGCTTCCTGTCCACTCCCCTTATGTCTCCTCATCGTCCTCATTGTTTACCTCGTCGTTGTCCCCCCTCCTCATTTTCTTATTCCTCCTCCTCCTCCTCCTCCTCCTCGTCGTCACCGCTCGTGTGCCCAGGGGCGAGGGGGGGCCAGAAGTGGGGGGACTGGCCCCGGGGGGGAGCCCAGGGGGACGGGAGGACTGGCCCCTGGGGGCGGGGGAGGACGGGGGGGGGAGGGGGCCCAGCGGGGGGAGAACTGGCCCCAGGGGAGCCCTGGGGGAGGACTGGCCCCAGGGGGGGGGGGGGACCGAGGACTGGTTCCGAGGGGAGGACTGGCCCCCAGGAAGGCGGAGGGCTGCCCCTTGGGGGGGGGGGGCCAGACCTGCGACGTCTCGAGACATTTGTTTTGGCCGCGGAAGCACGCGAGCAGGCGTCGGCAACTGGAGGGGCGCACCGGAGCGAAGTGGGGCACGAAGGCGCGGGGAGGCCGGATGGGCGACACAGAGGGAGGCCGGTCAGAACATGAAGTTCTTCACGGACGTGCCGGAGCCGTGCAGCCACATGGAGCCCACGTAGAGGAAGAGGGCATGAGTGGAAGACCACGTCTCGAGAGGCTCGATGCGGAGGCTTCTCTCAGTTTTCGGCCTCTGGGGGCTCTCGCCGGGCCCCAGGACCGTCAAACAACGGCTCGGGATGAAGAACGGGCCCCACAAGAAATGTCCAGGCTGCTGGTGCCTCGTATTGAGAAAGTCGAGACATCTGATGCCTGGGGGAAGCATTGACTCCTTACAGGGCTCGGGGGGCTTCCGAGAGGGGGCTGCTGACGAGTGGGGTGGGCGGAAGGGGCTCGTGGTTCAGAATTTTCGCACGTTTTCGCCTGTTGCCTCGGGATGCCTTCCAGCGGCTGCGCCTCGTCGACAGGCTTTCAGGATGCTTGGATCGTCCCGAACGGCCGCTGGAGCCACAATCTATGGTCCGCAAGCCAACAGGCGCCAACGGGGGGGGTAATAACTAGGAAGGGAGAGAGGTCATGGCCGAGGCCATGATGTCTCCTCGGATCACATGGCCCCTCGCCTTCTCTCCAGACGTTCTCTGGTCCCCCCGCGGCGGGGTCGCCGCCGCGTCGACACGACACGAACCTACCGTAGTCCAGGGGTCCCTGACGAGCACGTGTCATGCCCGCCCCTGCAATGACTTGTCCCCCCCTCGGCCGCGCACGTGCCTCCAGCCATCGTTTGCGAGCCCCCCTCGTGGACGCCCCCGATGAGCTGCCGGCGGCGGCGGGCGGGTTGCCGGCCGCCGCCGTCCCGGGCGGCATGAGGAGCGGCGGTCCAGAAGGGGGGCGCCGCACGCAGCGTGAATTTGCAGCTTGCGGTGCCCGGCGGCGCGCGGAGGGGGGCCGGGGCTGGCGGCCCGGGCCGATCGCCGTGGGGAAGCGGGTCCCGAGGAACGCGTCCGGAGGTTTGGCGCCAGTTTCGGGCTCCGGCGGCCCTACACGCTCGAGAGAGAGACGCGTCCTGAGGCTTATCCCGGGTTTGGGGCTCTCGGGGCCCTCCACGGGCCCCAGAGCTGCCAGAAAAGGATTCAGGATGAAGAACTCGTAGTTCGTCCTGGGGGAAGGCCCGGGCGTCCAGGACAAGTTTCCCGCAGGACCCGTTTCCCCCATGCTCAGCCGAGGGGGCGGCCTTTCCAGACCCCTCGCGACGGGAAGGAATGTCGCGGCGGAGAGTTTTCTTACACGTTGTCGGCTTTGGGGACCCTCGCCAGGCCCTGGGAGACCGACTGAGGATGAAAAGTTCGCCCTGGGTAGCTGGGTAGATGGTCGAGAGTCTGCAGGGGTTTCACGTTGTGGGAGAATCGCGGCGTAGCGGGTGTGGGTTCTGAGGGGGGCAGGGGGCTTCTCAGGAGCCGTGCTGTCTTTCTGAGAAGCCTCCGATTCTCTCCAAGGGAAGACCCCTGCCTTCTTCAAAATCCCGCCCCCTCGCTCTGCCACTTTGTTCGCGCCGCCGACACCAGTTGTGCAAGAGCTTTCAGCACGAATTCGAAGCAGAGGGTTGAATTTCCAGCACCAATTTCCAGCTTGTCCAATACTCTGACGGCCCCTGTCGAGAAACAGAGAGCGTCCTCGAGGCGTGCCCTGTGCCTCTGACTCTCTCTCTCTCTCTCTCTCTCTCCCTCTCATCCCTGACACTGGTTGTTCCTGGCAACGGCTGTTCTCCCATGAAGCCTTCAGCCGAATTACGGGAGGGCGGCGTCTGGATCCAGTCGGCATCGGCAAGCCCACGGATGCGCAGTGATCTTTTGATTTCTGAGGGGTAAACGGATCTTCCTCCTCATCATCATCATCATCACCACCACCATCACCAGAATCGCAATCATCATCAGCAGCATCATCATCACATCGCCATCATCAACACCAGCGGCATCATCGTCACCCCCATCTTATCATCATCAGCATCATTATCATCGCCACCACCACCATCATCATAATCATCATCATCAGCATCATCATCATCATCTTCATCATCATCAGCATCATCGTTGTTATCATCACATCACCATCATCAACACCATCATCATCGTCAACCCCATCTTACTATCAGCATAATCACCACCGTCATTACCACCACAATCATCGTCAACCCCGTCGCATCATCATCATCATCATCATCATCATCATCATCATCATCACAATCATCATCATTATCATAATCGTCAACATCATCATCATCACCACCATGATCGTCATCACCATCATCATCACCATAATCGTTGGCATTATCACATCAACATCAAAACAATAATAATCATCATCATCATCAGACCCATCTTATCATCATAATCATCTTCATCACCATCACCATCATCACCATCATCAGCATCATTACCATCAGCTCCGTCATCAGTTCCGCTACCATCATCATCCTCATCATCATCTTCCTCTTCACCATCATCATCGTTAACCCCATCATTACCATCATCATCATCATTGTCATCGTCATCACCATCATCATCATCATCATCATCAGCATCATCATCGTCAACCCCATCTTATCATCATCATCATCATCATCATCATCATCGCCATCAGCATCACCATCACCATCACACCTTCACCATCACCATCACCATCATTAACATCATTAGCATCATTACCATAATCACCGTCATCATTACCACCACCATCATCATCATCATCATCATCATCATCAGCACCAACATCGTAGGCCTCATAATCATCATCATCATCATCACCACCACCATCATCATCATCATCGTCGACATCATCACCACCATCATCAGCAGCATCATTACCATCATCTCCGTCATCATTACGACCATCATCATCACCATCAGCATTACCACCATCATCACCATCATCATCATCGTCAACCCCACCATCATCACCATCATCATCACGAAAGAAACAACAGCAGCAGCAACAACAACAGCAGCATCAACAGCACCATCATGATCACCTGCTCGGCCCGTGCGTTTCTATGGGCAATCACCATCACCAGCACAACCACCGTCATCACCATATCAATATGTGTCACCCGCTGGGGCGCGAAGATCACCGCGCCCTGCGCGCCGTGGCCTGTGCCAGAGCGGCTGCCCTTCTCCAGGCGGGGCGGCGCGAGGGCGCGAAGACGATCGCGCTTCGCGCACCGCGGGGGCGCGAAGTTGGGCGACCCAGGTGTTACGAGGTCACCCGCGGGGGCGCGAAGTTGGGTGACCCAGGTGGTACGAGGTCACCCGCGGGGGCGCGAAGATAATCGCGCTTCGCGTGTCTCGGTCTGGGCCAGAGCGGCTGCCCTTCTCCAGGCGGGGCGGCGCGGGGGCGCGAGGGCCCGAAGATGACCGCAGGCCGTGCACTGCGGGGCGTGATGCGCGAAGTCAGGTGACACGGGTAGCAAGTGCGGTCAGGAACTGGCCCACCGCGCTTCGGCGCGACGTGTGAAGCACGTCCCAGTCCCCAGGCATCACCTTTCCGAGCTTCTCCCAGCCCCCCGTCCCGCGAAGTAGAGCGGGACGCTGCCAGCTGATGTCGGTTTGCAAAGCACAGCGCGTCGCAGGGGCCGCCGCCGCGGCACGCCAAGCAGAAGTTCTTGGCAGCAGAGAGCAGCCAGGGGAAACGATAGTGGGGAATCGGCTCAGGGCGGACGATAGCATCGGCCCCCAAGCGCCCATTTCATAGCGGAGATGGGGCACGATAGCCCACCCCGCTCAGGAGCCTGCGGCTTCGCAGTCCGAGGCCCATGGCGGATCTGTCGGCGACGTGTGTCCGATTCCAGGCCTCCGTGTTCCTCCTGCGAGCCGGCCCCCCCCCCCCCCTCGTCGCTCTCCCTCCTTGGCGCTGCTCGCCTGCACCCACAAAATGCACGGCGAACTAGTTTTGTTCCGTCCTGGCGGATTTCCCAGGCGTCGGCCTCCGGGGCCCGTTGTCGGGCCCAGGGGCCAGCAGAAGCGAAGCTGGGGCGACAGACTGCTCCACGGAAGCTCGGCGGAGGCAGAGGGGGCGGATAGCCCTGGGGGCGCCCGGGACGGCGGCGGCCGGCAACCCGCCCGCCGCCGCCGGCAGCTCATCGGGGGCGTCCACGAGGGGGGCTCGCAAACGATGGATGGAGGCACGTGCGCGGCCGAGGGGGGGACAAGTCATTGCAGGGGCGGGCATGACACGTGCTCGTCAGGGAGCCTCGTCGAAGGCATGGGCGACCTGGGCCCCGCGTAAAGCTCCCCTCTGGGCTACGGTAGGTTCGTGTCGTGTCGACGCGGCGGCGACCCCGCCGCGGGCGTTCGAGCTTGAATTCGCCAGTGGCCCAGAATCGGCCATTATAGAACGAACTGGCGATTGAAAAGCCTCGGATCGTTCAATGTTGAGCGATCCACGCGGTGTCAGAAAACAACGTCGGGGTTGTCCTGA